TGAAGCTTTCCCTACGTCTCCTCTGCTCCCATGACACCCTATACATACCTCCCATGTGCCCCAGGACTCAGTCCTTGGACCCCTTGTCTTTACCAACACCTTCCTCTTGTCAGTTACACATTCCTCCTAAATCTATATCTCCTGCCCCTGACTTCCCTGGGTTCTAGGTTAATATATTAAAGTCTCCACTTGGATATTTAGTGGGCATCTCCAAATGAAGCCACCCAACCCTGTGTCCTATTCCTCTTCCTATCTTCCCTATCTCGGTTGAGAAAACTACCGTTCACTCAGTTGCTCACGCTAAAAACGCAAAGGTCATCTTCCATTCTTTTTCTCTTACATCCCACAGCCAGGGAATCGATAGGCAAACCCTATTGGCTCCATCTTCAAAAATACATCCAGAATCAGGTTACTTCTGACCACCTCCACTTCTACCACCCTTGTCTAAGCCACCCACCATCTCTCACCTGGATGACTGCAATTAGCCTTCTAACTAGTCTCTCTACTTCTGCCCTTACTTCCCTAAAGTGTTTCACATTAAGATAACCCACATAGGGATCCTATAAAAACATAAGCCAGAGTATGTCTCTCTCTGCTCAAAACCCTTCTATGCATCCCCATATTATAAAATCCAAACCCTTATGAAGGCCTGTAAGTTGGATGCCATACAAATTATCATCTAAACTGAGACATTTATGTGAGTGAGAGAGAATGAATGGGAAATTAAGTTACTTTCTCAAAGCCCCACAGAAAGTAACTAAATACAGGTTTCCCCAATTGCAAGGCCCATGCTTACTCGGGAAGCCTCTCAGCCTTGCGATCAAATGAAAATTTAAAAATGATCTTAGATAATAACCCTCTGCTTATTATAGTGATAATAATAATAGCAACAACAAGTAATATGTAGTGAGCCCTTACTACATCAGCTCGTCTCATCTTTAAAGTTGGGATTTGAACCCAAGCTACGCTCTTGACCTTGAGGTCAAGTGGCCTTCCTAGCAAGAGCTCAAAAACATCTTCTGAATGAGCAAAATAGGAATCACTAGCTGACCTAAATTTATTTAAATCATCTCATTTTTTTTTTTGCGGTACGCGGGCCTCTCACTGCTGTGGCCTCTCCCGTTGCGGAGCACAGGCTCCGGACGCGCAGGCTCAGCGGCCACGGCCCACGGGCCCAGCCGCTCCACGGCACGTGGGATCTTCCCGGACCGGGGCACGAACCCGTGTCCCCTGCATCGGCAGGCGGACTCTCAACCCCTGCGCCACCAGGGAAGCCCTAAATCATCTCACTTTTCAAGGCAGAGCATAATTCCAAAGGAAATCTTAGCTTACCATGGACCCTGATGAATGTGCTGTTCTTCTTGGTCATGAGCCCACTGGAAGCGGCACAGGTGTACCGCCCTTGGTCACTCCGGGTTACACTATCTATAGTCAAGGTGCTCAAAAACTTCTTCATCTCACTCCCAGACTGGGTTTTTAGGTCCCGGTTTACGAGTTTCTTATGCTGATGCTGAAAAAGAGTTTAGTGAACTTCCAAAGTCCAGAATAACATTCCCTGGTAGCTTCTAGATACCCACAAAAGTCTTGGCCTTTGGTGAACATTATTTAATGCTAAGAATAGATACTTCTGAACTTTTATCATCATGCTGATGACAAATACATTTGGTTTCAGGAGAAATAAATAGAATCAACCGAATCAGGCATTTTCAGACCTCACATAATGGGAATGAGATAATAGAAACTGCAGAAACACAAGGAAATATGACCACTGTTTAAGGAGAAGTGTGTCTCATGCCACCTCTTGAAATGAAATTCCCTTAAAGGGAAAATAGATCAAGGACTTTGCAGAACAGAGAAATAATGCAACCTAGAAAGACATAATCCCCTAAAGAAAACTAATCTTCACAGCCTGGACAGAGTTCTTGGTTTTGCATCTTTTTTTTTCCATGAGTGCTGTATGGCCTACAGTTCTCTTAAAATGTGTGTGTGTGTATGTTAGTGTAAGTTAAGGCCCTTACATTTTATCTGGCCAAAGAGGACCCTATCTCTCTCAAGCAAACTTCTTTGGAGCTTGTTATCAAAGTATTTGGAGGCTTGGCTTTGAATTGTTAGTGTTACCTTCAAAGAAGGGTATTCCCAGTTGAAGTCAATCCCCACATTTAGTTCCGTTCTTGCCGTACAATTTAAGACAAGCTTCTCTCCAACAGACAGCTCAACTCCGTGAGGGGGGCTCAGAACCACATCATAAATCTTGTACCCTGGAGCAAGTAAATTGGAAAAACAGAAAGTGAGAGGGAAACCAAAATCTATAACTTGGCACACATTTTTTTCAGACACGATGCAACTTCAAAATGTGTCACATCATTTCTCCCTGAGGGCCTCCCCAAACCTTGGTTAACTCCCAGGAAAATGGTCTACAGAGATCCACAAAGCAGCCCTAAAGGGATCTCAAAGATGTTGTAGCCCAGTGGATAGAAAAGCAGTAAAATCTGAGAAGTCAATAGTCAATGCGGCCAGCTTTAGTAAGTTACCAAACTTTCCATAAAATAGGTATAATTAAAAGATTTGATGCCAAGCAATGCTCTGAACATTGAATTTTCCAAAAAATATGCTCCCATAACAGAACTCTTATTCATCCTTGGTCTTGGTAAGGAAGGAGAAAAACCTCAGTTGCACATCGGTTTACTGGGTAGAGAAGAGCGGATGTAATGAATTGCTTAACAACAAATCCTGAAATAATATATTTCTCAATATCTCTTGTCCTCCAGAATCTTAATATAAGAAGCTAATCTTTATTGTCTGACATTAATGATACAGAAAGGAATTGTCCTCTTACCTACAACCACAACTATGTACATAATAGACTGGTAACTTTCATCATTAATTTTTGCTTCACAGAAGACCATGCCAGCGTAGCTGATCATGTAGCTGGGAATAGTGAAGCCTTTCTTGCTGTCCCAGAAAATTCTGTTACCATCAGGAACAAACCTCTTTTCTGGATACCTCTGGGTAGAAAAAGAAATATCAAATATTTAATCAAGTGCTATCCAAAAGTAAAAACCATGAACACTAAAGAATTCACCTTATTTTAAGAATACAAATTGGTTTTATTTATTGTCATTTTGACCCTTCCTAAAGTTTCCTTTAAAACTCATTGTTGACTTAATGTTATATAATGCATGTTATATATATATATATATATATTTATAATATATATAATGTTATAAACAAACTACCCATCTTAATACTAGCTTAATATTATGAAAGGGTAAGAGATGAAGAAAGAAGATGTAACTTACTGCACAAAGTGACACATTGAGGTTTGAGATGGTCCCCAGACACGGAATCACCACAGTTTTGTTTTTGTTCTCAGTGATGTACACAACTCCATGTTGGTCGCTGACAGAAGCAATAAACGGAGATCTGTAATCTAGAAGAAAATGTAATTCCATTAGTTAATGGCATTTACTAGAAAAGTGGGTCATCTTTCAGGTTCATAAACTCTAACCAGAGAAGTAAACTATTGGGAAAGACATTTCACACTAGGCAAAGGAATCCAGAGGTAGGTCTGCTGGTAAATATCTGGCTCCAAGGTTACGCTACAGGAGGCGGGGGTGTGTACGTGTGAAAAATCTGGAAGAAAACTCCCAGAATGAGACTGGCTCCTTTTGCACTGATGATCAACAAGTAGAGTGTGCTTTATAGGTTCCACATTCAAGCAGATTGATCATTACAGATTTTTCAAAGTGAGGGAGCATACGTCTTCATTTTCATATACATTTTCATATGCACTATACATCTTTCATGTACATAAATTTTAAAGTAAATTTAAAGTTAAACCTCTACAGTTTACCTACTGAGTTTTTTGATGTTAAAAACTTCATGTTCTCTCTCTTAAGGCAAATAGTGTAACTGTCATGAAAATAGGTTAATGGCTCCCAAAGATTCTTTAAAGTAAAGAAATGGCTAACGATTTTTAATTCAATAATAATTCAAGACAAAGTTTCACGTGAGTATTTTAAGACTGTGAAGACTAGATATAAGATTCTTTATATAATAATGTTGAATAGTTAAATTGTTTATGTTTACTGTTTAATTGCATTCAGTTTAAGATTCAGCAATCATTAATATCTTCAATGACAAAAGCCTGAAAAGCCACCATGGCAAAGACTGAGAAAAAAACAAAAGAGATTTTAATGCCGTTCAAACATTGTTCGTATGATGTTAACACGCTGCTGGGAAACGACTCCTTTTCCCAGAGATAAAGTTGATGGGTGTGAAGCCATGCCTGAAATCTCAGAGAGATAATGGTTCATGCCACTCTCCCCAACACACCTGACCAAGCATTTTCAGAGCTCTTCAGGATGGCTGGTTCAAGTAAAGAAAGAGTTAATTAAACCAAAGGGGAGAAAAGCAGCTAATTCCCTGCAACAGCAGAACTTTGATTTCCCTCCCAGATGGAAAGCACAGAAAGGCAGCCAATCCAGCCACCACATGCCATAGCCATTATCTTACGAGACCAAGACCCACTTCCCGCCTCCATCCATTGCTGGAGGGAATGGGGTCAGAAGACTAAGGAAGTAAGGTGGGGACCAGAGGGGATATTAAAGGACCGTCCATAGGGAATACTTCAATGTTTTCTTTTCCACTGTTAAACTTCATGACCAAAATCTTGGACAACTCACCTCCTAGAACGCCAGGCTTAGACAGGAAGCAGAATTTGATGGTATACTCAAAGACAGGCAGTGTACAAATAAGCAGTGCTGGGGATTGCTACTTCTTAATATTACCTACCTTTCACCTGCATGCTATGAAATATTACATAGCTTGCTTACAGAGCAAGTCTTTGGAAGCTAAATTAACCCCTGGACGTAAGACTAAAGCTATTTAGTAAATCAATTCTATTTCAGTATCCCCGAAAGAGGAAATAAACAAAAGAAACCCAAACAACCACCCATCCTCTCAAAATAAAATATTTACTGTAACTCATGAAATGAATTTTCACATGTCTCCAGGTTTCCTGACTTGGGGAGAAGGAAATGACGAGATATTATGGGAGAGGTTCATCTTGTAGTGTTTCCAGACAGCCTGAAAGCAGGAAATCCTTGCAATCTTCCGAGAAAGCCTGATCTCCCAAGACTGCCAGATCAAAAGGAGCCAGAAATTCTCGAAGATCTGAGCCTTGTCTCTTTCAACTTCTGCAGAGGGGGGGAGGAGAGCACAAAATTCTACCTTGGACTGTGCTCACTCTGGGCAAAAGTAATTCTCAAATATTGTGCAATCCAGGAGTGACATACGTTATTCTGATGTGGTCCCCGTTCTTCCCTTGCACTGACCATATTGCGCTATTGAAACGCAAATGGAGATGTGCAAGTGTGTCTCCCAAAGCTGATGAAATCCCTGTTCTGTAAATGATGCTTCTGGATAAAAGTCTAAGCCATCTTCACCCGCTTCAAATTCTCTGGGACGTACAGAGGTATGTAAATGTATAAATAAAATGTCTAAAAAGCTCATCTTTACCGAAAAGAAAAATATTTAGTATATCTAAACAAAATACTATACTATAGACTTATACCCACCCAAGTTATATGATTCATATCTCATTAGTTAAGTCAGGTTTTCTTAAGTTAGCATAAGATTTCTGAAACACGAAGGAAAGAATAATTCAGATTATAAATGCTAAATACATGTGACATGGAGTTTACCCTACATGGATGTTAAGCTGGCCTCCACAGTGTAAATCCCAAATTGCAAACTATAGAAAGATGCAGCGTGTCATCCAAGATCTCAGACCACACAAGCAAAGGAAAGAAACACTGTCCTCAAAAGGCCTTTTGAGACAGTGACTTTATTTGCACAAGTGTATGGAAATTGTTTTTTATAAAGTGTAAGTGGGAAAAGGTTCCTATGAACAAGAAAAGCTCCAGAGCCCTTGCCTGATTCCCTGTGCATTCTTGGGGAAATCTCCAAATCTGCTGTAGATAACCTATCTCTCCACAGAAACCTCTCCATAATTCTCCCCTGAATCTTCCTTTTCGAGGATTTCAGGGTTTTTTTTCGCAAACATCAGAAGACTTCTTACAAATCTCCATTGCCAACTGTGAACACAGATTTCCCTTAGAAACAAAGATCAGAACCAAACTAATTGGGCAATAGAGATGTAGCAAGGCCCAAGCTGCAGAACAAATCACTGAGTCTTGTACTCAGAGGAGGGCTTGGGAGAGAAGAATTTTGTAGATTCCTGTTGGCAGAGAGCCTTTAGAGCGAGCCTTTGTTGTCCGGATTCTTCTTTGCACCTATTGTGTTTTGTAACTGGTAAATTAACTTGGGAAGTGAATTCCATTTAACCACTTACCTTGAACATACACATAGACGACGGAGGCCATGTCAGTGTCCCGGTAGAAGCACTTGTAGGCTCCAGTATCATTTCCGATCACTTTTGGAATGGTGAGCATCTTACATAAGGCACTGTCACTGCAGTCCGTCACCTCCACTCTTTTCTCAGAGCTGCTCTGATTGTTGGGCCAGAGCCAGTCCAAGTCCCTCTGACCCCTGAAAAATTCATTCCAAGCAAGTATTTAAGTGAAATGCCTATGAGGCTGTTTCTAAGAAAATAGAAGGTTTAGTTCTCAAACTTATACAAACTCCTCAACAGACAGATTCATAGCCTTCTACCAATAATGACAGATTACACGGACAAATGACAAAAAGCGAGAGTCTCAGCTTCAGAAATCACTTATAAGGATTCCTGAGTTTTCTATTACTTACTTCATTCAACCAACAAATATTTATTAAGCATGTGCTATGTGTCAAGCGTTGTTGAAGACTGGGAATACAGCAGTGAACAAATCAGATAAAAATCAATGCTTTCATGGAACTTCAGTCTAGTTGGAGGAGACAGGCAGTAAAAAAGTAAGTAAACTTCAATAGAGCTGAAACTTTTAAAAAGTAAGTAAAATATGTTGTATAAAAGGTGGTGATAAATACTATGAAGAAAGTCTAGAAGATGCAAAGAAACAAGTGAAGAGTTCTAGAGGGAGTGATGTGGGCCGTATAGATATCAGGAGGAACAGAGTTTCAGGCAGAGAGAACAGCCAATGTCAAGGCCCTGGGGTGGGTGCCTATCTGGAGTATTCGGGGAATGGCGAGGAAGCCAGCGTAGCTAGAGAAGAGTGGGCAGTCAGGAGAGTAAGAGGTGAGGTTAGGAAGGAAGGGGATGCAACTGTCTAAGGGCCTCGTAGGACCTTGCAAGGATGGCACTAAAGCACAGATTACTTTCATTGCAGCATTTCTCTACAAAGCCCCAAGGAAGACAGTCAACATTGAGAAGAATGTAACATCACTGACCCTTCTTTAAAGAACTTGAAATTTCCATGAAGTTGCAGCTACAGTAATGAAGTTACTTTTAACACACTCCATTGTTTTTCTGGGGACCTAAGAGGAGTATATATAGAATCTTGGGGAATTTTAAATAACCTTTGTTGTTAAAGGTGGGTAAGAGGAAAATCTGCTGAGAAATGCATCTTGAAGCAGCAAAGCTAGGCAAACAGCACCTGTGACTATGTTTTTTCCCAAGGGTTGGGTATTGGTGCCCTACCCTTGATAAGGCAACTAGGGTGTCCTTTACACTCGGCAAGCTAAAACAGATCTGTGTCACTGTGCTGAACACTTGGCATTCATCAAGCAGAAACAATGGCAACAAGCTCCCCAAGGTTCTTTGTGGACCATCAGCACTGTTCTCAGGGGGCAAGATCACCTCTACCCACCATCTCTGCCAAAACCACACCGGTCCCAAGAAGCCTCTGGCTCTGTCATGCATAATCACTACATGAAACCCTAAAGTCTTCTACTTTTCTCCCTGAGGTAGGGGCTGGAAAGCAAAATTTAGAAGCCTCATCTTGTCAAAGAGGCCTATTTCCCCAGTTAGCAAAAATCAAGAGCATGACCTCTTGCTAGCTGGTCAAAGAGACATGCCAGAACCTCAAGCCAGAGCTTGACATGCACTCAGCAATATTCATGACTGAATATAAAATTGCTACTACAGTCAGAATTTTACCATAAAATAAAGTTCTTGAAAAGTGCTAAGCAGATGTCTAAGAGCCATTCTGAGTATAACAAATATGTCCCCAAACTTCTTTAACTCTAAAGATTTCATTTATTCATTCAATATTTATTGAAAGTGCATTACACAATATATGCTAGGTGCTATACTGGTTATTAGGGTGTGTGTGTGTGTGTGTGTGTGTGTGTGTCTGTGTGTCTGTGTGTCTGTGTGTGTCTGTGTGTGTGTCTGTGTGTGTTGGCAGAGGGTAGTAGGAAAAAAAATGCCAGCAAAATTGTACAGAATTTTCCAGAGAAGACCTTCCTCATGTTTTCATTATTACATTAGCTCTTAGAAACCTCACTACTTATACACAATTATGACGACTCTATTATAATTCTGCTGTATGGAAGTTATTTTTTCTTTAATAAACAATGATATTTGACACAGGAAATCTGAATCTCAAATGTATCCTTACCTGCAAGTAATTTGAAGCGTTGTGTTAGCCATAATTGTAAGTATGTCTTTTTTTATGCTGAGCCTGGGTGGATCAAGAGAAACACTAGACAAACCTAGAAACAAATTAAATAAATGAATATAATTGCCACTCAGACCCAATAGGAAACACCTTCCATAAACAATGCACACCCTATACTTTAAAAGGCCTCTTCAGCAATTCATTGTGTAAAACTTGTGAATTTACTTTTCACCATTCCCAGTAAAAGTTCACAAGCTGTGTCATAACAGGAAGAATGGGCAGATGGTCATAAACCAACACAACAGTTCTGCAATTCATTGAGCGAGGGTGGAGTTCCTGTTTTCCTGCATTGCCAACTTCAAGGTCTTACAAAAGGATATGGGACATTGAAACCAAATGAACCTTCATCTGATGATCTCACTCCCCTGGGAAAGGACCCACTGACATTTCTTATAAAACATAGGATGCACACATTCGACTAAATTGCTGATTAATGAATACTACTTAGAGAGATTTCTATATAGTTCATCCATGTACTTTGAGGGGGGTGGGAATGTCCACGACATTGTCTCATTTTCCTTTATCAATTTTCTAGTGCACTTCCTCTGGTAACTGAACTGCCAAGGTTGAAAGACTGTACGTTAAAACTAGATGAGAGGAATTGAGGAAAGAAACATGTTCCCATGTCACATAACATGCATATACTCTCCCTCAGAAAACAGAACTTAAAAAGGGTAATGCAGGACTTCCGTGGTAGTTCAGTGGTTAAGAATCTGCCTGCTAGTGCAGGGGACATGAGTTTGATCCCTGGTCTGGGAAGATCCCACATGCCACGGAGCAACTAAGCCCGTGCACTGCAACTACTTAGTCCCCACTCTAGAGCCCGCGAGCCACCACTACTGAGCCCACGTGCTTCAGCTACTGAAGCCCGTGCACCTAGAGCCCATGCTCTGCAACAAGAGAAGCCATGGCAGTGAGAAGCCTGTGCACCACAATGAAGAGTAGCTCCTGCTCGCCGCAACTAGAGAAAGCTTGCACACAGCTACGAAGACCCAGCTCAGTCGTAAATAAATAAATAAATAATAAAATTAAAGAAAAAATAAGTTAAAAAAAAGGGTAATGCTAATGAATTACCACTGGGGAATCCCAACTTACTGATCAAAGCGCTGAGCTTGCCCTGACACCAAGCTTGGAACACAGGAAAAGTGTCTACCTAAATATACCATGGGACAGATTCCTTGCCATGGGTCACTCTACAGCAAGAAGACTGAGTTCTCTGCCAACTAAATGCAAAGAACTACCAGGTATTGATAAAGCATCAGAGAATGAAAAACTGTCCACCATGTCAGGGTCTTAACTCATATCTAGATCTTCAAAACACCACCTTAAAAAGTGACTGATGCTGGGTAAGCACCCAAGCTTCATATGATCCTTAACTCACATCCACTAATAACAAATGACTCTCTAGGCCTAAACTGGGGTTGACATTGTTGGGCAAATAAAAGAGTATTAGCAAATATGAAAGAGTATGAATAAATAGAGTATGAGCAAATATCCAGTGTAAATATGCAGAGCATTGAATCTGTGGACCCCAGCGTGAACAGCTGCAGGCAGAATGAACAGCTGATCACTCGTGTTCTCATACACTCACTCAGATGTGTAAAATAGGTTGCTGTAGATTTGTTAATCAATATTAAAAAAATTTTTTAAACTGGAAATTACTTTATATCAATAAATCTCAGAAACTAATTGGCGTTGGAACTGCCATGGGTTTGGGGCAGTGGTTCTTAAACTTTAGCATGTGTCAGAATATGCCTAGGCCTACAAATCTGCATTTGTAGGTGGCGCGGTCATACATGGTCTATGGGCCACTGTTGGATGGCTATTGGTCTGGGTGGTCATGCTCAGTTAAACAGCAGAGCACTTTTCAATATGAAGGAAATAACTGCTCCCAAAGTAGGCAAACAATAAAGCAAAGTGTTTAAAAGCAAAAGAAAAGTCTTCCAATAATGGAGCCCCATTCTGTGTCACAGAAGGAAAATGAAAATAATTCATTTGGATGAGCACAGATATCAAACTTGACTGGGAAACACTAGGTTGAGAAACATGTCAAAAACAGTAACTTAATACAATTCCTATGATGACCCAAATGAGAAAGAACCCATTATTTGGGCACATTCACGTGAGAAAAAAATGGTAGTAAAGACTAAGCTCTAATTAAGCCAAGCTCACCCCACCACAAAAATAAAAGATTCTTGAACCTCTCCTGTAAATCACTGCCACAGATTATCTCACACTCTAGACACACTTTCCAATGTTAAAAAAAAAAAAAAAAAGGTTCTCCATTCATGGGGAGCCAAAACAACACCATACTATTCTAGAGACATGTCTCCAACAAAAAACTATTCAACAAGGCTATCAATAATGATAACTTCAAATTCATATATGTAGACCAACAGTCAATTTCTTTTTGCTCCAATAAGCTTCATTCATTTTCACTGACAAGTTTGAGTTCTGCTCTTCAGAAAGTTCTAAAGAAATAACTCTAAGAAGTACATACGCTGCTACTCAATAAAAAGCTCTTCTATGTTCAAATTCCATAGCCAAAATTAATTCATTTGTGCACTATTACCCTTCCAGCTCAAAGACAGGAAGGAAAAACAACAGTGCCTCTGTCTCTAGAATTTGATGGCATCAATTATAGCCCAATCCAATTAAGCAAGTCACACACTCCAAAAGGGCAACCTCATCGTTATATTCAGGGCAACCCGATTACGGTGACTACTGCTGTGCTATGAAACACCCCAGGCTTAAAAGCAACTCACTTCTTTGTGGGATACAGAACAAACCACAAGTTCCAGACCTTCACTCTCTCACCATAAAGGGGAAGAGAGAGGTCCTGTCAGGGACAAATGAGTGTTCCTGGTGGAGCTGGCCTGGATGAACCAAGTCGTTATTCAGAAAATTCAGTAACTATAGACAGATGATCTTGTTACTGTATATGTGTGTGGGTGTCTTTAAAAAAAAAAAAAAAAAGACATATGATTCTTTAATTTATACGGAATTTTCACCTGAATCATTTTACCTTTTCTTCCTTTTCCACCCTCTCCCCTTTCTCACCCTCCGAAGAGTGGAAATCTGTAAATCAGCAAACTGGCTACAGGAAAGAGATTAGAGAGAGATGAGAAAGAGAGAGATAAACAGAGAAGGAAATAGGGATGGGGGAGAGAGAGAATGTATTGCACCAAGGGCACGCGTGTTCCTAATCTTGACGGAGAGTGAGATTTTAGACGACAAGGAGAGTGGCGAGTGGCGCCCAATCTAGGTACCAAAACCTTCAGAGTAAGTTTGCAGAACGTGAACTTCTGACCTGTGCTTACCCGAAAGACCAAAGCGCGTTGAAAGATGTTAAACTGTTTTACATAAGAAGGTGACTATTACTTGGAGACACTTCGGGAAGCTGTCACAGCCCCAGGTCCAAGCCCAATTCCCCTTTCTCTCTGCGAGGAGAGCGGCGTCCTGCACCAGGAAGAAGAAAAAGTTTCCCCCTCCCCTAGACCCCACCTTATACATTGGGTGTGTATGTGAGTTCGAACCAAAAGGGAACAGTAGACCGGGTTCCCGGTTCGACTCCTACAGAGGCAGAGCTACAGGCACGGTGCCGTCTGCCGAGCCGGCTCGCGGCCCCCTAAGGGCTTCCTTCCCCGCGTCCTGGCTAGGATGGTGCGCGCAGCCGGACAACGTTTCACCGCCTGTTCCCGCCTGCGGGGGCACCTCCTGCCTGCCAGCCACAGGCGCTTTCCCACTCCCGCCTCCTAAGAGCACGGGTGTATCGGCTCTGCAGGACACGCTCCAGCCCAGGCCCCGTCGGACGTCAGAGTCGCGGAAATGGAACTGGGCTCAGGAGACCACCAACTCGCTTTGTAATCTTGGGCCAGTCACTGAGCTTGTTTCCTCTTTGGTAAATGAGAGAACACAGTGTGAAGTCACTTTCACCTCTCCAGCTCTATGACTCCGAGTTAGGTCCGGCCTCCAGGTCCTCTCCGCATCCCTATCTCTCCGCCCGTACCCGACCTCTCCGCTTTCCTTCTAGGGAGCGGGGTCCTTACCCACAGAGGCAGCCCGGGTCTCCGCGCAGAGCCACAGAGCAAAGGCCAGCAGCGCCTTGCTCTCCATCCCGCACCTCGCGCCGGGCGCAGTGCCCAGAACTCGACCGGCGGTTCTCTCTCCCTGGTCCTGCTCCGCGAACAAGGCGCGGAGGTGGAATGCGCGCCGCCGCGCAGGGCTTCGGCGCTCTCAGGGCGAGGGTGCCCCGGCTTCGGCCGCGGCTGCAGGGGCGTCTGCGGGTGCCAGTAGGAGAGGGTATCCCGGCTGCCAGACAGCTTCGGGCTTTCTGTAGCGGGCAAGTGATACCCCGGTGCGGGCAGACGAAACGCAACCGTACACCTCCGGCTCTCCCGGGGTCCCGGGATTCAGTGCTGGGTGGGAAGCCAGAGCCGAAACTCTAGAGCCCGGGGGCGGGGCTATTCGGGGCGGGGCTTCCCTTCGTAGCCGGCCCCGCCCCTCAGCCGGGTTCTGTGAGTGGACCCGGTGCTTCCCACGCCCACTACATCTCCCCATCTCCCCACTTGCACCGGACTGCGTCTGGCCCGGAGTGGCCCGAGGGTGAACGTTCCGGGCGCAACCACTTCATTTCTGAAAGAAAATGTAGCCCATAACGGGTTCTGAGCCACTCCAAGTTTCAGTCGGTGGCTGCCCTCCCGCCCCGAGATGTTGCGGAGCAACACTGGGAGTGCTGCGAGGGACACTGCACCCTCAGGAGGAGCGCCAAAGTTTGGGACAGTCTTGGGTCTGCGCGCCTCTGAAGCGGCTGGGGCACAGGCTGAGGATCAGCGGCAGGCTGAAGCAAAGAGGCAGGAGCGGATACTGAGCAGAGGCGAATGCAGGATCGCAAACTGTGACTCCAGCCAGTATGAGTGTTTTGCTTGGCCAGCACAGTTGTAGTTTAAAAATCTGAAACTTGAATGCCTTTAGTCCGAATATTCACTTGCCCATCTCTCCAAAGTTCCCACTATTTCCTCTTACACCTGACGGCTTCAACTGTTTTTAAGTTACCTGCCTCGCCCCCAAAATCATTTAAATTTGAGACCCTCCCCCTCTACCTGGCTTTCACCAAAAACCTACCTCAGGCCTCCGGGGAGCTGGAAGTACCCAGGGCTCTGGAATATCCGCGGCGCGTGTGGGTCTCCTTGAGAAAAGGTTTTGTCCACCGGGTTACCCAACCAGGAGTCCGTCGCTTGACGCTTCCCGGGCATTTTCACAGCAGAGCTTCCAGCCAAGCTCCCCTTAAGCCGCGGGGAAGGAGGCCCGCAGCGTCGGGGTTCCCTGGAGACGCAATGAAGCAAAGCCCAGACCCTGTCTCACTTTGACAATGAGTTACTGGCCAGACCCTGGGCACCCAGAACACTCTGTACCAAACCTCCCAACTCTCTCAGCAGGTGTAGATTCCTTGTGGCTCTGTAGACTCTGTTTCCTTTCTAACTACATTTGTTCTTCTTTTCTCTCCATCTGTCCCCACACCTGGGAAGTGACAGATGTCCCCTAACTTCATTAAATGGGATCTTCCAGATCCCTCCGTCTCTTACTTCGCAGGTGCTTTTAAATGACAACTTAAAGGACCATCCTTCAGGGAGACGAAGAGGTAGAAATATTTTATTTCTACATCTAGTCCAAACTCCTCCGCCTAAAATACACATTAATGTAAAGTGTTTCTTATGCTTTTTTTTTTTTTTTTTTTTTTTTTGCGGTACGCGGGCCTCTCACTGTTGTGGCCTCTCCCGTTGCGGAGCACAGGCTCCGGACGCGCAGGCTCAGCGGCCATGGCTCACGGGCCCAGCCGCTCCGCGGCATGTGGGATCTTCCCGGACCGGGGTACGAACCCGTGTCCCCTGCATCGGCAAGCGGACTCTCAACCACTGCGCCACCAGGGAAGCCCTAAAAAATATTTTTAATATGAAAAGGTTTAGAATGAAAAGTCCTTCCTTCGGCAGAGGCAGGCATTTTTACCTTTCCTTTTTTCCCAAGCAAATTCTATGCACATATAGGTATAAGTATATCATGCTCCTCCTTCCACAAAGGGTATAAATACTTGGTATAAATACTGCTTGAGTGTTGGCTTTTTTCACTTTAAAATATAACTTGGAGGTCATTCTACCTAAAGCTTTAGGGCTCCGTCTTGTTCCTTTTCATAGTGGCATGGTGTTGCACTGTATAGATGCACTAATATTTAATCTAGGAGGTATTCGTCAGGGCCAGGGGTATACTTAAAAGAAACTCCTCTCTTCCTGCAAGTAAACTTAGCAAGGAAAACAGGATGGGCTCTGGCAAAGTTGGATAAGGGGGAGGGAGATGGAACCTGGTTTGGAGCAGGCAGTTTTTCTCCATCTCCATCTCCAAACAATTCTTCTCTCTCAGCTTTATTTACAATTCATGACACTTCCTCTTCCACGTCTCACTTAAGAAGATAGTGTCTCCTCTGAATGCAAACCAGAACCTGCAGGCCCATGGTAATAGCCCCCTTTAGAAGTCTTGGAGGAAATGATGCGTCTTTGATGGCCACAAGACCAGAATTTGGCAGGGTCTCAATGAAATCAGTCTACCACATTCCCTCCCACACAGCACTAAGAAGTACCTTGTGTTCATGAAAAATGACAAAGTCTGGTGGGTTTTTTTTTGTTTTCTTTCTTTCCTTCTTTCTTTCTTTTTAAGTCTGTTCCATGTGCAACACCCTCCCATTATCTGGCACTGCTGCAAAGGAGTGATTTGTGAGTTAATCAGACAGTACAGGTAAGATCACCATCTATCAAAGTAGGCAAGTGTGTTCAGTGCCCCGTAAATGGTATTCAGACACCTTTGGGGGTGAAGCAGCCGAGAGTGGTGCTAAGTACACAGGGGCCACACTGGCTGGGCTTGCCTCCCAGGTCTACCGCTTTACTATCCACATGATCCTGACCAACTTACTGCTTGCGTATCTATGAAACACAAAAGATGATAATAGAACCTTCTCCCTAGGGTTTTTGCAGGAATTGAGTTACTGCACATAAAGCCTGACCTAATACCTAGTAAGCGTAAGCACCTAGCACACAGTAAGCACCCAATGCACATTGGGAAGCACTGTGCAAAGATTAATTATACTATCTCCTTCATGTTGCTAAGATCTGAATGGTAAATAAGGCTCATTTCTTCAACAACAGTTTCTGGTCCTACTACGTGCTAGATATTACAGGAGAGACTAGGGTTACAGCAGTGAATGTGAGCAGAAATGAGCAGTCCTCACAATAGCTCCACCCAGGGCAAATTTAACTTAATCACAGAGTGCTCTGTATCTCCAGCTGTTTCATCGGGCTTTGTGCACAGAGAATATAAATTGTTCATATCATCAAAGCATACTGCATAAATTACACTCCACAGTGCCAACTTTTGTTCCATTGCCACCAGTATTTTGGACTTCATATCTTAAAAAAGTAAATATGAAGGCTAGCAAAAGGTTAATAACTGAGGAAGTTGGATGAGTACATAAAGGTTCATTTTACTATTCTCTCTACAGTTACACATTTAAAATTTTCCATGATTAAAAAAACCTGTTTTAAGTAACTATCAAAGTGCTGGCCGGTTTTGTATAATACCATTGACTTTTCCATAGTCGGTCTTGACATTACCTCTGGGAAATGGTTGAAGCAGAGAGGCAGGTGGATGGGAACTTGCACTTTTTACTTCATGTATTTCTATAGCATTTTGTCAAAATGAGAAAGTGTAACTTTTACAAATAAAATATGTGAATCAAGATTCAACTCTCCCTTCTAGTGGCTGTTATAGTTTTCAAATATTGCCATTTGATGAGTACGTATTTGCATGTCACTTTCTCCTGTTTACCTCACTTAATTTGTTTCCAATATTTGTTTATGCTCTAACTTACCAGAGCCCTGACTACCCTGCCAGATGTTGGCTGGATTTCATAGCCCATTGTATTCATGACTATCATGCACTGGGAGATCCTGAGCACCCTTTATCTCTCATTATCCACCTTCCTTACACACCTATGTGTATTTTTCTCTCTGTGTGACTTATTTTTTTTTTTTTTTGCGGTACGCAGGCCTCTCACTGCTGTGGTCTCTCCCACTGCAGACCCCAGGCTCCGGACGTGCAGGCCCAGCGGCCACGGCTCACGGGCCCAGCCACTCCACAGCATGCGGGATCCTCCCAGACCGGGGCACGAACCCATGTCCCCTCCATCGGCAGGCGGACTCTCAACCACTGTGCCACCAGGGAAGCCCTGTGTGACTTATTTTTAACTTAAACTTAAAACATTTTTTTATGTTCAAGGAAAAGAAGGTTTTGTTACCACAAAGCCAGGCTTGCCTTGGATGTTTCTATCAGTGTTTGGCTTCATTCATCAAGTCTTACATTCTAATAAATATAAAACAAACTCCCCATTCTTTTGGTGAGACAAATGAAACAGAACTTCATTACTTGCCACCTGCACAGGAAAAATCTCAGTTACTATAGATATGCATGCCTATGTGCCCTCCCCAAACTCACCCATATAGTTGCTTGCTATATCTCACAAGGATAAATATAACGATTTTATAAATTTATTTTTGGCTGTGTTGGGTCTTCGTTTCTGTGCGAGGGCTTTCTCTAGTTGTGGCAAGCGGGGGCCACTCTTCATCACGGTGCGCGGGCTTCTCACTGTCGTGGCCTCTCTTGCTGCAGAGCACAGGCTCCAGACGCGCAGGCTCAGTAGTTGTGGCTCACGGGCCCAGTTGCTCCGCGGCATGTGGGATCTTCCCAGACCAGGGCTCGAACCCGTATCCCCTGCATTGGCAGGCGGATTCTCAACCACTGCGCCACCAGGGAAGCCCAAAATATAACAATTTTAAAAAGTGGAAAGCATGCAGGGAATTTAAGTAACCAACTGAAAATCCACATAACACCAGAGAAGGATGTTAGAAAATAATAAAAGTAGCCAACACTCACTGAGCACATTCTGTGAGCAGGCGCTGTTCTGAATGCTTCGCTGCATCCTTTGCTTCATCCTTGCAACATCCCATGACGGCAGCAAAAGCACTGTTAGCAATTCTCAGTGAAGAAGAGTGAAGACAAGGAATTGCTTATCCTTAAGTAAATGTTCCTTTGCCTTCCTAAAAGTCTTGCAAAAAAGAAAAAAAAAGGTTGTTTTATCTCTTTGCAAACAATCAATGCATAGTTTTCTCACCATTAGTTAATGATTGGTTAAAAATCAAGACACTCTTTGCTTTTTTCTTATAATAATAATAATAAGAAGTCGATTTTTGGAGCACTTATTATATGCCAGGTATTTTCTTTTGCTTAACTTATTGTAATGTTTACAATAACTCAGTGAAGATACTATAATTATTTTCATATGGGGGTGGGG